GAAACATGTTTTGACTTTATGAAAGTTTCTATGCAAGAATACATTAACACATTGCATTTCTTGGTTCTCATCCTTGGAATTCAATTTATTTGTTTAATTGAATTTTTATATTTTGGTCATTACACAGTCTGTCTTCTTTTGAATAGCTGAAGGTTGCTTTTTCACTAAATTGGTTTGGTTTTTATTGAGTTTCTATAGTTTGTGGAGGTTGGTTTTCTAGATATGGATGTTGAATATGAAATCAATATATTTCTCAGATCTAGAGATGAAGATGCTATCCATTTGAAAAACAACAGATTTGTGATTGCCTTTTTTGTTATTATTATTATTATTATTATTAGTTTTGTTATTTTGATGTGTAGGTGTTTAATTTTGAACAAATAAAATTATCTTTGTTGTTGTTGTTAGCAGATAATTTTTTTTTGTGTGAATAACATATGTTTATATATATCTGTGAGTGTGTGTGTGTGTGTGTGTGTGAGTGAGAGAGAGAGAGAGAGAGAGAGAGCTTTATACAATTAGGCAGCATTTTGAACAGATAAAACTGTAAGACCTGTGTGTGTGTGTGAGTTTAAGTGGTGAACCTATTACATGTTGATATGTGAGATGATAAATGACATGAAAATTTGATAAATATAGTATTATATAAATGAAAATTGTTGGAAATTTATAGTTTTATAGGCTTATTTTAGGCTATCTTTGAGCCCAAAATAACACTTTTGGGCATATTTGTTGTTTAACACTTTTGTCAGCTAATGAGTAATTTGTTGTAATTATATTTTTGTCTAGGGCATATTTATTGTAAATGTGACTAATTTTGCCATTCTTTGTCTATCTGCCTCCCTCATAATCCTATATCATTATGACCCTTACATTTGTTGTAATTATATTTTTTTTAGGGCATATTTGTTTTGCATGTGAGATGTATATCTCCCAGTAAGTTTTCCTGAAGCAAATTAATGGTGGGAAACACATATGCATGTGAAAAATGAGTAGCATTTAAATATATTTATATATATTGTTGAGAAGATTACAAAAGAAGTAAAGTGTGTATTTGAGGAAAGTACAGATCATGGATAAGAGTTGGATTGATTTGATAGATAGGATGTCGAGGGAATACATTAATGGGATTGATCAATTCCTTGTGTTTGCCTACACCAATAGGGTTGAAGGTTCAATGATTAGTGGTTCATGTAGGAAATGTGAGAATCGATACCATCTTGTACGAGAGGGTGTACGGGAGCATCTGATTTTGAATGATTTTTTTAAAAAGGTACAAACATTGGATTAATCATGGGAAATCTTACGTATCTCTGCATGGTAATCGAGAGAATGAAACATTGGCTAATTTAGACATTTGGGATGATATGGTTGGAATGATACAAGGGGCTATGGGAAATACACATGCCGGTACAAGTGTTGAAGGTTATGAACCACAGGGGCTTGATCCCCATGCATCTGAACCCCAGCTCGGTCCAAATGCAGAGATTGCAAAGTCTTTCAAGCTTCTTCAAGATGCACAAAGTGAATTGTATCCTGGTTGTCAGAAGTTCACATCTTTGTCAATCATTGTTCGACTTTTACATCTGAAGGTGCTTAATTAGTGGACAGATAAGTCTGTTGACATGTTGCTTGAGTTATTGAATGAGGCGTTCCCGTTGGGTATGAAACTCCTAGACTCATATTATAAAACTCAAAAGGTCACAACAGATTTAGGCTTTACGTATCAGACGTGGGATGCATGTCCCAACAGTTTCATATTGTTTCGAAACGAGGATGCCAATCTTGATAAATGTGTCATATGTAATAGTTCTAGATAGAAATCATATGGTGATAGTGGTTCAAATGGTCTTAACAAAGGTGGCAAACGAATAGCTGCAAAATAAATGAGGTATTTTCCTTTAAAGACAAGGTTGCAGAGGTTGTTTATGTCATCCAAGACGGCTAAGTTAATAAGATGGCATGCAGAGAAACGAACTGATGACGGTGTCTTTAGGCATCCTACAGACTCTCTTGCTTGGAAAGATTTTGACCGTCGTAATATTAACTTTAGTAATGATTGCCGAAGTGTAAGGCTTGGCTTAACATCTGATGGTTTTAACCCATTCAGGACAATGAACATAGTTCATAGCACTTGGCCTGTTGTACTTATTCTATACAACTTGCCACCATGGATGTGCATGAAGCAACCATTTCTAATTTTATCCGTGCTTATTGATGGCCCGAAAGGACCTGGTGACAAGATTGATATGTATATGCAACCGTTGATTGAGGAGTTGAAAGAACTATGGAATGATAGTGTCTCCACATTTGATGCATCAACAAATCAAATGTTTCAAATGCATGTAGCTTTACTGTGGACAATTAGTGATTTTCCTACATATGCAAACATGTCAGAATGGAGCACTAAAGGCGAATATGCATGTCCTTGTTGCAATAAGGTAACTACATCGTGTTGGTTGAAGCATAGTAGGAAACAATCATACTTGGGTCATCGCAGATTTTTACCTAGTGGCCATAAATTTCGGAAAGATAAAGTATCATTTGATGGTAGTCGGGAAGTCAGACTCAAACCAAAATTGTTGTCTATAACTGAGATGCTGTTACAATTAGAATCTGAGGGTATTTTAACCTAATACAAGAGGGATGACCTTAAGGAGAGGCATAGGAGACAAGTAGAGAAAGAGAAAGCTGGACATTGCATCTATAGCTGGAAGAAAAAGAGTATTTTTTATGAACTGCTATATTTGGAGCACAATCTAATAAGACACAACTTTGATGTGATGCATATAGAGAAGAATTTTTTTGACAATGTGTTGTGGATAATATTAGGGGTTGTCATGCTGTCTCAAATAACCTTTTAGAGACGACATGTCGTGCTGTCTCAAATAACCTTTTAGTGACGGCAAGTATCCAGTTGCAAATAAAAACACTTTCGTGACGGCATTTTTTGCCGTCGCAAATAACACTTTTAGCAACTGCAACGCAATGTCGTCCCAAAAAATCTCAGACTTTTACATATTAATGCTGACAGTATAATTCCGTCGCAAAAAGGCAACTTTGCCGTCGCACAAAAAAGGTGACGGCACTTTGCCGTTGCTAAAAACTTTTAGCAATGCCCTTTGTTGTGACCCCCCACTTGTCGTCGTTAAAAGTCAGTTGCCGTCGCAAAAATTTTTTTGAGACGGCATTTTTAGTATTTGTGACGGCATTTTGCCATCACAAAAAATTGAAATTTTTGTAGTGAGCCCTTCCCACGTTCACATCCAATGCATATATACATTTCACTAATCAAACTCGTCACCCAGATACAGATACAGAGGATTATGATCAAATCAATTTGAAATAAACATGCATGATTTTATTTGAAGCATTAGAATCGCGAACATGAGAAGGTAATCCAATTATTTTAATTTTGCAATCTTTTTCAGGGAAACCAAACAGGAGGAAATTAGGAATAATGAATTTCACTGTCTTCAGTAGCCATTAAAATCAAAGAAAGTCAAATCAAATTGAAATCAAAAGAAATTGGAGTTTGGATTTGTACTTTTTTAGGAATTGACTCATTTTGGGTGAGTGAGATATACATGGGGGTGGGTGATGGACCTTACACATTACAAAATAATTTTATAGACCTCTCCCATTACTAAAAATAGAAGATGGACCTTAAACTAATTTTCTCTTTGTTTTTTGCAAACTTACATTTCAATATAAAGTTAAAAAAAATATTTACAAATTAATAATAAATATTATAAATTATAATTTTTTTATTAATAAGTAATTAATTTTTTATAGTACCAGTGAGCTGTTTTTCCCTTCATTTTTCAATCTAAATCATTGTATAAAAAATGAAATTAATTCGATAATGGTTGCAATATGACTTTATTATATTAATGTTAAAAATGTAAATAGCTTATTTTTAAAAGAGTAATGTAATATAAATAAAAAATTTATACATAATGATATTACTTATTGTGAACCTTTCACTTCAAAACAATCATTGAAGATAGATCTATTTACAATAATGGTATTATCGTATCATTCTTGTCAAATTTTTTATATAATTTTTTTGTATGTTTAGAATTTTCTTTTTCAAAATTACATTTGTCTTTAATTAATTTAAAGATAGAGATAAATTCATGTGGTTACAATTAAAAATTTTGAAAAAAAATCTAAAAAGAGTTAACTGAACACACCAAATAAATAAATAATAAATTTTTTAAAAAGAAAATTTGACCTATTGAAGCTTTTTAAATTTTTTTGATTCGTCAAGTCAATTACATTTTAGAAATTTAAAATTTTTTAAAATTTTTAAAAAAAATCTACAAAAACAATAACAAAAAATAAAAATAAAGATAAAAATAAATCACCAATGAACTAATCCTAAACGATTGAAGCAAATTGTCTAGCAAATGTTATAAACACACATAAGACAATTTAATTGATGCATTTATTAAAATTATAAAATAACAAAATCGTCCACACGAAAAGTGTGTTGCTCCACATTCATCATCTTGAAATTAAATTGATAAAATTAAGAATCAAGATTTATTTTATTACAAAAATAAAATGTAGAGTTTTTTTGTCATAATTTTCTCTACATTATTGTGTAGCTTCTTGGCCATTAAACTTGGGATTTCTAATCCTAAATGCATGTTGGGATTGGTTAACCTTGTTAGTGTTACATATTCAATAAAAGCTTTTTTGTATCTAAATTTTTATTCTGGTGGTGCTATATATACCAATTAATGTACTAATTAGTGTATCAACCAGCGTTATGGCATTATTATTGATTTCACCTATTATACAAATTACAAATACTCAAAACTTTTAAAATTGTGTCACATTATCTATTAATATATTAGTTAGTACACTAATTAGAGTATATAGTATTATTCCTTTTATTCTCAAAAGATAATAAATTAGTGGAAAGACTACTTTATTCTTCCAAGAAAAATTAGTTTTGATCAAGAAGATAAACAAAGAAAATGAATTCCATGATCCAACACAAGCATTCAAACAATACAAACAAGGTCATATTATATATACAAAAAAGAAATCAAAACAAGCTCGTTTAAATTTTCTTATTCCTCCCCTCCTTTCAAAAAATTAAAATAAAATACAAGCATAGAATCAAACAACATCATATACACATAAGATCATAAAGATAAATGGAAGTTTGTAAGAATCCCATACTCTTTCATTCCCATTTGCTCCTAATCACATGAGTGTGCTTGAAATCATAGGTTAATACCACACTTCCATCCATTCTTTTCAACACAAACCTCTCAACCAGCACATAGCAACCAAACCTACTCCACCCACCAACACCAATCCCAGCATACTCCTCTGTTTTATTCACCCTCACTTGCTTTTTTTCGCTGCGAGGCCACCCTCCTCTCTCTTGCTCCCATTTCATCCGATCAACGATTATCCATTCTTTTCAACACAAACCTCTCAACCAGCACATAGCAACCAAACCTACTCCACCCACCAACACCACCAATCCCAGCATACTCTGTTTTATTCACCCTCACTTGCTTTTTTTCGCTGCGAGGCCACCCTCCTCTCTCTTGCTCCCATTTCATCCGATCAACGATTAGCGAGCTCAATCCAATATTCACCTCTTCTCCTACACCACCAAAGCTCGTAAACCAAATCACCCCATTGGCCACATTATTGTCATCCCACACCGCTTCTCTACCCACCACAATGACCCTTTCTCTTTGGACTGTGACATCCACAGACACAACGTTCCCTTGATTGTAACCATTTTCACAAGTGAATATTTGCTCCCATCTTTGCTCAAGTGTCATCTCATAAAACATAGATATTTTCATCTGATCTCTCAGTGTTCCGTCTTTGATTAACATGAAAGGACAATACCACTTTCCCACAACAACGGCTTCTGAGCTCTTGTAGGATAATGGGAAATCGAATGCTGGAAGGCAGGCACGGAGGGCAGTATTGATGCCTAGCGCTTCACCTAGTTCATAGTTTTTGGGTGTTTTGGTATAAATTTCCCACCCTTTTCTTCTTAAGAAGTACGGAGGAAAAGCATCTGGTAAAATTGATGTAGAATAAAATGCACCACCACTTCTGCAAGCTGTTGCATAAGGAATGATCTGAAATTGCTGATATATGTCATTAGGATCTAGAGGTCTTGGATCAACGTCTCGAATGCAGTTGCAAAAACAACAGGTACGCATGTCTTCCTCTCTTGAACAAGCATATGCTTCCCTGTGAAGGCAATCAAAATCAAGTAGTAAGATAAACCTAGCAATACATTCCAATCCAGGGACAGATTCAGATTCTAACATGCAACTAGTAATTAGAAAATTCGTCCAAAGTGTATAGTACAATATCAATTTTTACTTTCAAAGTATATATCATCATTAATTAGATATTTGTTGTTAATCTAGTTGAGTATAAAAATATGATGATGCAGTTGGGCATATTCTCTTCATTAAAATTACTTATTCAATATTGATCCTAAGTTCATGAATAATTGTACTTGGGCAGAGCTATGTTTGACCCATGAGAAGACCTTAATTATTGCCCATCACCAACCACACTTACCATCTAAATTTAACACTGTTATATGATGTGCAGACCATGGTTTTAAAAAACGGACTGGACCGGCCGGTTCAACCGGTTGAACTGTCGACCGATCGGGGTTTCGGTAAGCATCATATGAAACATGTCTGTTCTCCCCCGAACCGGACGAGTATCTAACAGTGAGGTTCTTGTTCTGCGGGAAAGGCAGATCGATTAGATACCGATTCTTACACAATCCGAAACAAGTAGTAGTCTCTGATTCTTCGTCTTGGATTACCAAATAACCAGAGTTTGGACCCTCTGGTGGTAATGAAAGATATTCAGGAGATCTTAGGTAGTATGAAAGAGGCCTTGTCACATACATCTCTCTCCCCCCTCCCTAAAAAATAAAATAAAAAGATTTCTTTGCTATGGCTATAATCTTCCTAGCTTATGATTTGTATCTGGAGCACCATGTTTGTTGTCATGTGTATTTATACACATGAAAGTATGACCACATTATTTATTCAGATAGATGAGACTTTTTAAAAGTGAATTCTATTACTAAATATTGTAAAATTTTTGTACTTTCATAATGGTTCCATTTTAATAATTTGATCCATTGATTTTTTAGGTTTTTGTGTGTAAATCATCTATAAAATAAAATAATAAAATAATTTGATCTAATTACAAGGATAATTTATATTTTCAACAAATATCATAGGCGTATTGTAATTTGGAATTATCCCTCATATTAAGATTTTATAAGATTAAAAGACATGCAATATTTTTATAGTAGTTGGGGTCCCTCAACATTTTCACAGAGAAATTTCAACACAGAGAAAATTTAGCACATAAGAATTTGTCTTCACATAGAAATTTCAGCAACTCTGTGACGAGTAGAAATTTCTCTGATAATATAGAAATTTCAGCTTTTCTCTGTGACAAGTTGAAATTTCTCTAATAATATTATTGAAAGACCTTAACTGATAAGAAAAAATATATTGGACATCTTCTACTACTAAAAGTTGAAAATGAATGTTTTACTAATTTTCTTTCTAATTTATCCTAAAAAATGGGTAAATTACGAATACACCCCATGAGATTTGCTTAAAGGACAGATTGCTCCTATAGTTTGGAAAATGAAAAATGCCCCTTTGTTAAAATTTTTTATTTAACAGAATTAACTAAAAAAATAAAATTCATAATTGCTCTCCTAAACAATAATAAAATTACCTAAATTATTAATTGAAACATATTTCTAACATCACTAAAAATTGTTAATTGACTTGATGATTTATTAATAAAATGAGCGATTTGTTATGAAATTAGAAACTTTAAGAGGTGGAATATAATTTTCAGAACTACATGAGATAATTTGTATTTTAATCAAATCTCAAGTGATGTATTTATGGGTTTTTTTTTGGTAATCAAATATTTACAGGGGGTGTTTGGCAAAGGATTTTTTAAGCTTTTTGGGTTAAAATCTATAAAAAGAAAAAAATAAGTTAAAATAGTTAATAAGATAAAATATCATATCAAACTTATAATTATTTGATTTTTTCTCCCACAAACATCACATCTAACTACAAAAAAAATTAACCCTCTTTCTATATATAAATATTTTAACCTATTAAAATAATTAAAATTAAAATAACTTATTAAAATAATTAACTTCTCAAATGAAGTCATAATTTACCCCCAAAAAAAATAGACATTTTAGAAAAGTCAAAGAATATCGATGTGCTTCGGAGGATGGAGCTTCTTGGTTGCTTTAATGAAGATAAGACAATTTGGTATAAATCTTAATTATTAATTTCCAACACTTGTTACGTGCACGCCAAAACCATCTTTAGTCGTTGGGTCAATGCTTTATACATTAGGTGCTTTTTGGGCTTTTTTTTTGTGTGGGGGCGCACGAAATAAAACAATAACCTCAAAAGCCCCTCGAATTAAAAAAATATAATTAGAAGATTCAAATATCCTTCTGTGTAAATGGGTAAATATGAAATAATTAAACTGTTTCTTTCCCTTTCCTCTGTTTCATTGATTGAAACACAAAAATACACAATATTATAAACAAATTTTACTGTTATTCTATCAAACAAAAATAAAACACATAAAAATAAAATAAAATTTTACTCTCATTTTAACAAATAAATACAAGAGTAAAATTTTACTCTCATAGCAAATAAAAACAAAACACATAGTACCAGAGTAAAATTTTTCTCTGATTCTATCAAACAAATTCAAATAATGCACAATAAAAATAAATAAAAATAATAATTAATCAACTAATGAACATACTTGATCGAACTCAAACAATAATCAAATGCATGATCGAAGCAAAACCTCTAAAACTCGATCAACACTCTCAATTTCAATGAAACTCTCAAAATTAGGTATAGATTATATAAATTTGAAATGTAAGCTCTCGTTGATACAAATTTCGAGATTGCCAGAGAACATGTTTTAAATTTGGTGAGACCTTTGTCGGCGAGATAGTCTATTATTGATCAATAGCGTGATCGTCAGCAGCTAGATCTTTAGATTTTGAGATCGTCTTCATTGATTTCAAAAATCACCTTCATTGATTCAAATATATGAGATTGAATTTTCAAATATATGATATATATATATATATATATATACATTGAAGGATAATATTGTCAAAAAAAGAAGAAGAATAAGAAGAAATTAAGGTATGTCTTTATTGAGCCACGTGGCTTTTTTGAAAGGCTTTTTGAAGATAAATTAATTGAGATGTCTTTTACCCTTAAAAAAAAGACCAAAAAGGGAGGTTTCATAATAATAATAATAAAAAAAAACCTATACATTAAAAGTCATGGCTAGACTAGAACCAGGGCTTGAGCATTGGGGGATTAGAAAGGAGACATTGGGTCATATATAGTTGAGTGAGTTGAAATGAGTCTAAACAATTTAAATAATTATTAAAAAAAAACAACATCTTTATTTAAACGAAACACAATATATATTATTTTAAATCAAAATCACACACCCACTGATATATATATATATATATATAAAAGCAAATTTGTAACCATTTGATCTCGATTGTACAGAATTTCTGTGTACTATTGGGTACGATTTCATTAGGGAGCACATTGTGTAATGCCTAAACTATTTGAATTATTTATGAAAAATCAAAAGGCAAACTTTGCTTTATTCTCTTATGATTTGGGCATGTGCAGATCATCTTCTTATTATTTAGAAATAATCACAAAATCCTCATAAAATGAAACATCCAATTTTAGTTACTGAAATTGATGGCAACCATACTTCCATACCATTCAATGCTAAAAATATAGTTATTTGGACTTTTCTTAGGTGTGCCTTGCATATGGTATGCCAGGCATTTACCCCTTTTCTATTTTGCATTTACACCTTTTATGTATTGGGTTAGACGACATTTTTTGAAAATTTACACATTGGTGACCTGCTAAACGGGTCCTTTGCAGGTAAATTAATTAAATAATATAATATATTAATAATTTCACAAAATGGTGTAAACTTTCACAAAAATGATGCAAGTGATTTGACGAAAAGGTATAAACTTTTAGAAATGGGTGTAAACTTTCACTAAATGGTGTAAGGTATAAACTTTCAGGAAAATGTGTAAACCTTCAAAAAATGGTGCATGGGTTTTGACGAAAAGGTATAAACTTTCAGAAATGAGTGTAAACTTTCACAAAACGGTGTAAGATATAAACTTTCAGGAAAATGTGTAAACCTTCAGAAAATGGTGCAAGGGTTTTGACGAAAAGGGTGTAAACTTTCAGAAAATGGTGTAATTATTTTGACGAAAAGGTATAAGTTTAGAAAAATTTTCAGAAAATGTGTAATGTTTCAGAAAAAGTGTAAAATTTAGTTTAGTGTAAATTTTATCGACAAATAACAGTTTAGTCGCTAAAGGTTTGAAATTTTATTACCATCGGCCCCCCTCTTCTCTGTTTCCCACCGACACTTTCTCTGTTCTCTCTCACACGCACACAGAATAGTCACCACAAATCCTGACCCCCGCTGACCACCCAAGCGTCGGTGGCCTCTGGTGCTCACTACTGTCTAACATCGCCACCTCTACGGCGACCGCCGCTGCCGCAAATCAAAGGTTTTTTTTCTCTCTCGCTATCGATCTTGATCTCTCTCTGTCGATGTCGGCATGTTCTCCGTCGATGTCGGTCTCTCTCTGTCGATCCCTGTCTATCTCGGTCAGTCTCCAGCGATCTTGGTCTGTCTGTGTCCATGTCGGTTTCTTCTCTGTTGATCTCTGTCGATCGCGGTCCCTCTCTGTCGATCTCGGTCTGGCTGTCTCTGTCGATCACTGTCCATCTAGGTCTCTATGTCTGTCGATCTCAACTATCTCTCTCTGTCTGTCTGTCCCTTGCTCTATATTAAAAACAGTTCTCTTTTACATTGACATACTTGGTTGGATTTAGACTTGGAGTCGCTATTCCATGCCCTCCCAAACTCGTCTTCTCTGAAACAGACTTGTACTGAGAGAAAGACCAAGCCCTCCGAAACGCCCTTCTCCCTCACATTGCCATTATTTGAACAAGACAAATACATTTTGATTGGATTTTAGGAACTTACACGTTTTGTGAAAAAACGGAACTTACATGTTTTGCGAAGTTACTTACATCTCTTATGAAAACACTTACACTATTTGTGGAAGGTTACACATTTGTTGGATAATTTATTTTGTAAAATTACACATTTTCGTTGAAATACTTACACCCTTTGTGAGAAGTTATTACTTTTGTAAAGAATGTAATAAAAAAAATTTACACCTTTCATGGAAAAGAAAAAATATTTGTATAAAATTTATATCTTTTGTTAAAAACATAAACCTTTTCTGAATGGTTACACCTTTTTGTGAAAACACTTACACTATTTGTGGAAGGTTACACATTTGTTGGATAATTTATTTTGTAAAATTTACACTTTTTCATTGAAATACTTACACCCTTTGTGAGAAGTTACTACTTTTGTAAAGAATGTTATTAAAAAAGTTTACACCAATGGAAAAAATATTTGCATAAAATTTATACCTTTTGTTAAAAACATAAACCTTTTCTGAATGATTACACCTTTTTGTGAAAACAATTACACTATTTGTGGAAAGTTACACATTTGTTGGATAATTTATTTTGTAAAATTTACACATTTTCATTGAAATACTTACACCCTTTGTGAGAAGTTACTACTTTTGTAAAGAATGTTATTAAAAAAATTTACACCTTTCATGGAAAAAATATTTGCATAAAATTTATACCTTTTGTTAAAAACATAAACCTTTTCTGAATGCTTACACCTTTTTGTGGGAATACTTACACCTTTTCTGAATGGTTACTGCTTTTCTGAATAACTTTTTCCATAAAATTTACACTTTTTATGGGATATTACACTTTCTCTGCCAGCAAAACTTACACCTTTTTAAAAAATTTAT